ATCCGAACATGGAAATGAACCCATAAATACACATCGATACACTCAGCACATTTACGAAATCGAAGGATCTACCCTGACGGGATCGGTTAAATCGAGGAAAATAGTAGCTTCATGGGAGGGTTCACACCCCACTTTTGTGGTACGCCTGAACGTTAGGCTACTTGAACATTGTTTGCTAAGCACAGATAGCTGACCAAACAGTTAATGGTAAGATCTGACTGCTGTATACAACATGGCTTTACGAAGAAAGAGGAAGTTTGTAGCCTTGAAAAACGGCAAGGTAGCTATGTGAGTTCAAGGAATTATTTGAGACCAACATCACCCCTGGATGTCCAGGGCTGTATACAACATGGCTTTAGGGCCGAAGAGGAAGTTTGTAGCCTTGAAAAACGGCAAGGTAGCTATGTGAGTTCAAGGAATTATTTGAGACCAACATCACCCCTGCTTGGATGTCCAGGTGCCATCACCACGAGGCCACATATGAGTTAAGAATCCCAGGAACGACAAGAAAGAAACTCACTTCACTGAGCTAGGACGAGAAGCAGCGGCCGCGGCGTTCTGCAATGCAGCGATCGTCTTGCTCGGAACAGTAGGTATGTTCTCTGTGGTCCAGTCAACTGTAATATTGTTTCTGAAAATGTATTCAAGTTTCTCCTTCAGTATCCTCTCCATTTGATCCTTTTCTTCTTTTGTGTCGATACTGCAAAATGCCCGCTGAACATAGTCTCTGAAAACAGAATGCAACCCGAAATTCAAACAGATAAAATATATTTAAAAAAACTTGGGGTGACCGCATTGTGAAAAATGGCAAACGCCAACAAGCTGTCAGGAGACTTGAAAAATTGCCTTTTATAAGATACACAGACCCCACGAATCGTCCGAACCATGATATTCATGTTGGTGTGCAGACCCACACATTGACGCACCGCTATTCTTCTGCCAACTAGATCGGTGACGAAATGCTCACAACTAAATTGCCCAGCTGAGCAATCAGATCAGAGAATACTGCTGAGCGTAACGAAAAACAGCCAACTAACATTGAAGAAAATGTGTGGTTTTCTTTGGGCGAAATAGCTCAAGTGTCTAGAGCGCGAAATTACTGACCGGAGGGTCCGTGGTCCGAACCCGACCTCTGCATCTCGACTTCCCCTGTCTAGGTTTGGGCAACCTGACAGTATCCAAGCCCTCGTGCTTCCTTCGGGTGGCATGGCAGCTAGGCACCGGAAGGGTGTTACAGCTGAACGATTTTTTTGGATGAACCGGTTAGACCAAACAGAGAAAAACAGAAGCGCCGTTATTTGATTCAAAAATGTTGAATGATATTAGGCAGTGATTTCGTCTTTCGTGAGAGCACCGAGAAGCTACTCAGATAGAAGAATTTACCTACCATGCAAACCGGTTCGCCTGCAAGCATGAGGTTCGGAGTTGACCCCACTCAGTTTTGCATTATATTTAAGACCGTTTGCATTTTAAAGGATCTGATCCAAGGAGAGCAATTTTATTAGTGTAGGTTTATATGAATCATGGTTGTACGGCAGCGAAAAATCAGTATTGAACACTAATTTGATGTTGTCGATGATAATGATCACGATCACTCAATGATTATGTGCGAACGATCCCGGGCTGTTTCGATCCCACTGGTGATGGAGGCAAGTAAAGACACAGTGGATTACGAATATAGGGAGAAAGGGTGACAGAGGACATCCTTGTCTGACACTACTGGATGTGGTCGTGGGCACTGAAGCACCCACGGGATGAGGTACAGAGAGAGCCTCTGTAAGACGACGAGGTCAAAAGCAGGTGTGAGCGCTTGTGCTGGCTAGAAACAGATGGTGTTCAACACAACTGAAGAACTTGCTCCCCACTAGCTGAGCGTCAATCCCGAATCGGTTGCCAAGATGAGCTTACTCAAGCCCTAATCGGTCAACCTGAGCATTCATATCATCTGTCAGGATCATTATGTAATTCTCATTGATCGCAGAAACCGTGTCAAATAATGAGGTGGCTTCTGTCAGAGCGCTTGCTGACACAACAAACACCGTTTATTGCGTCAAGCTGTACTGACCATGATTGGACTTGACAGTACAAAGACGACGTTTTCAACGGAAACTGTCATCTTTATCATAGACAGCAACTGTACTGGTTGAAGTAGGAACATATCAAGAGAAAAATACCACGATTACTGGCAAAAAAAGGAGGCTTTGTAGAGGCTTACTGCAATAAAGCTATGAGGTATTGAGCTATCTAATCCTTCAAATGCACTGAGCATTGATGGACTAAGTCGGTATCGGCCATAGAACTGCACAGTATTATTACTCGACACAGGCCTAACGCACAATAGACGAGCCTTAGCTGGTCAATCCAGCCATGAACAAGGTTGTTTTCCAGTCAGTTGCAGAAAGTCAGATGGACGCCATCCAGGAAGGCTCGAAGATCTAACAGCCCAATTCTCTCCTACTTCGTGTCTACATATCACTATCTGTCCACAGTAAGTCTCTTTTTCAAGTAGCTTTGGAAATGGTGGCTGGTGCTCTCACTGGAAGACGGTGAACGGGCATGTGTAGTACAAACCGTTCCCATCATGTTCGTTGGTCAAATAGGGCTGATTTCGTAAAAGTAGTTCTTTGTTTCCACAACTGCTTTTGGATGTGTTTTGCTCAGTTGGTTACGGAGTTGAACAACCCCGCCGACTAGTCAGGGTGCTGCTCCTAGGTAGATATGGACTACAGATTTCACCGCTCCATAATAAGCTGAGTGGGTGGTTAAAAACCAATCACACATCTCTGGTAGAACCTGGGGGTCACAATGTAAACCGAGAATCAAAGGATAATTTGTAAAAAGCATTGAAAAAAATACGATACGGTTAACAGACAGCTCCGACCGTCCGCCATTAAAAGATAGTCTAAATAGGAATGACGACGTGATGGCAGCGACCATTTGCCACAGTTGAAAAATTGAAACGGAATGTTGAGAAGGTAAATGGGTGCAAAACCAGTTCGTGAAAATCATCATCATCATCGACAGCAAGACATCAGTGTTCAACACTGATGCTACATGGCCGTAAGTGCGTGAAAAGGGGAACATAATTCTTTATCAGTGACATTCTCGGCCGGAACGTACGGTACTTGCAGCGATACATAGCCTTGACTTTATCGTATTGCCATATAGTAACCGGTTAGCTGCTGCACGTGACTTCTTGTTATATTGTTACGAGCTTTTTACCATGCTAAAAATACATAGTCTTTATCATGGTGACTGTAGGTCATTAGTTAGAAATTGATAACACGAGAAAACAAATCAAAGCTGTCCAATGGAACAGAGAACTCAGGGGTCTGTTCTGTTGTCATTTGAAACACCCTGCATCATCTTATGAATCAACAAAGCTCTGGTGGGGTGGGATTTCGAAGGTCGAGACGAAAATTTACCACTGTTAAGTTGGGAAATTTCTCACTTAAGCTCTGCACTCCATTGTTCCTTTGTGCTTTTGGCTTCAAGAGCAGGTGGTGGTTTCTGAAGTTCACTGATTGTAGGTTCTGCTTCAGATAACTGAGAACAGGTTGTGGTAGCGAGCACCGGCGCATTGACAGCACCTGCTGCAATGTTTGAGTCTGTAATGGGAACAGAAACGTTTGCAAAGTCACGTTGAAAAGATACCACGCAACCCTCCGAGATTAGGCACCCATACCAATAGAAAAACTGTTTCCGACTAGGAAAAACTCCAACAGTAGTAATGCGGTAAGGGCGTAACGTCGATGGTTGAACTGGTATGTGCGTTGCTTTTCTGGTTTGGATTTATACTGAGTCACAAAAACTGGGTAGCGCAAAACACACTTGGAAAACGGACTAGTTACTGCGGCAGTGAAGCATCGGTGTTGAACACCGATGCCATGCTGTCGATGATGATGACTAGTTACAGCGAGGACATTGGTCAGTAAATATACCAACGACGCATTATTTTTCATTTCTAGTTATGTCCACCCGAAAAAGTTGTGTTGAAAATCACTCTTTTTACAGGAAAGGAAGCATGAAAGTAACTGTCCATCATCGACAGTTTGACAGTGTTCAACACCGATGCCTCACTGCCGTACAACCATGATTTATTTGGAAGCCTTATTGTAAAAGAAAGAGAATAAAGGTGGACAGGGAAGGGACTCAGTGCTAGCTTACCACAATCATTCCGAGGTGCCTAAACCTCCAGACATTCACTCAGGCAATCTGAATAGAAACTGACAAGAACGCTACTGACATCGGTTGACAACCATATTTTGCAGTGTCTCCGACCAGGCGCAGTGGGGATCACGCGGTCCTCACCCTTGAAGGCGAGTAGCACCGACAGCATCCAAGCGTTAAGTAATCTCCTTTATACCCCTCTACCAAGTCGAAAGGGGCCACCTCTCTGCCTGCGCCAATTTGTGTTGGGCATGGAAAACAGCACTCTCTTCAGCAAACAAAACTGATCATATCCCAACCGTTCTAAAGAAGGAACCATTTGACCATATACTTGAATGACGCGTCAGTCTAATCTTCAGCAATATGAAGGCACATTGAAGAACGCTATTGTAATCCCTGACTAATTCCGACTATCGGAAACGATAACAGACGCTAAGTACCTTCCAGCGAAAGACCCTTTTACACAAACTCCCATAAATCCACACCAATACCAAGTGCACAAAAGTAGAAAAATTAAGAAAAAAGTATAATACCTGATCTGACCATTGCTGGTTGTCTGGGTTTGTTTCCACCAGCTGCTCTCAAGCGTGTCGGTGGGGCAGGATATCCCCAGGGTGTTGGGAGGAAAGGAGCAGCTGCAGACGCGTTGGGGTTGGGATATGAATAATATCCGTAATTTGGAGAGTTCCAGGGCATCAGTGGTTGAGGTTGGCTAGGTATATATGGGCTGTTAACTGCGGGATACACTGAGCCACCGGGAAGCAGAGGCCGCTGAGGATTGAATCTAAAGAGATGGGGTTGGGTATAGGGTGGAGGCTGTGTCATGTATGGCTGAACACCTGTAGGCTGTGCAGAGTCGGCCCAATTTGGAGAAGCGCCACTGACAGCGGGCTGAGGATTACAAGAGCCATCCTTGGAATCTACACCTGGCGGGGGAGGTGTGTCGTGGACATCGGCAGTGGTAGTAGTTATAGTAGTTGCTTGGTGATTGTAGTCGAAGGTCTAGAAAATAACTATTGAATGAGAACGTATCATACTTGGGTTGCTTGACCTTGGTAACTGGCAGGATAAGCTCCGTACGTGCCACCCTGCCAATAGTTGCCGTACGTTCCCCACTGTTGCATGCTTGCCTGAAAAGGTGATGTTCAGTGCACTCATGATTAGGATAAAAAAGAGGGTTAGGAAACGAGACAACATAAAACGGAGTGGCATTAGAACATACATGCCAACCACCAGCTATCTGTGAGGGAAATCTTGCACAGGTTTCCAACGGCCAGTGAACGACTCAAGCTTAACAGTCCATAGCATTTTCCCAGCATCTTGCGTGACATTCATTTCTTCTTCTCTACCAAGCTTCTCGGTCTGCACAGACATACTCATATGGCGTCGGATTTGTCAGTTTGAGTTGTGGTTGCGGTCAGGAGGGATCTGTCGTGTGGCCTGCGGCAAAGACATGGACCTAGCAGACTCAGGGCTTAGATGAAATTGTCTTGGTTGTAACACAGACGGAAGTTCGGGTTTGAGTAGCGCCCTAAACATTTCTTCCTAATGACTGCTCATATTCCACTGCTATCCGATGCGTTCAAGGAAATGGAAAATAATGATCGTTCAGCTGTGATACCTCGCTGCCATGCCGACCGAAGGAAGCACCAGGGCTAAGATACTGTCAGGTTGCCCAAGCCTAGACAGCATTTGAGTTCGAATCACGAACCTTACGGTCGATGAGTTCGCACCTTGGCCGCTAAAGTAGCTCGAGCAGCCACTTCTGATAAGTTTATTCGATTTCTGGGTCCATCAGTTTCTCAAGCACTAAATGAATTGTGCACGCTTTTATGTAGACCTGAGAAGCGTGATGAAAATCAGCAGCGCGCAAGTGCATGGCTGGAGTCTACATTGGTATTCCAGAAGAATCGGCAGGCGATGATCGACCTTTGTCACCGGTGATTGATTGCGATGTGTAATCGAGGCTGGTCCGTTAACGCGTACCACGTTGTCAAGCGACTTCTGCATCTTTGGATATCGGTACCGCAAAATAATAGCTTGTGAGCTGCATACATCTGGGACATTCTATTGGACTGTTAGCTCTTTTTATATTCTGGTTCATTTGAATCCATACCACGGAACGATCCACTTGTTTGTAGTATAACTTCCTCGAAGTTGTCTTCTCCATTCCGGTGATCTAACGTGTCTGACTGATACATCATCAAAGAGGATATAACACTAGCGACGGGAACCCAACGCGAACACATGTCAATTTCAGCTGAGGATTTGAAAGCAATCCTTCAACAGTAACAAGCGCAGTTCGAACAATCGCAATTGCGACCTGTTCAGTCTCTTACTCAAGCTATCAGTTTTCAGACATCGGTTCCATCTCAGACTGGTACTTCATTATCCTTTGCCGATTCTACCGCAGCAACTGTTACCGAATTCCTCTACGAACCAGCATCTGGTCTCACATTCGATTCATGGTACAGTCGCTGGGAAGATACTTTTCAGAATGAGTTTGCCGACAAAGATGATGCGTGGAAATCCCGTCTCTTGGTCGGGAAACTTGGAACCCTCGAGCACGATCGGTTCATGAACTTTACTCTTCCCAAACATCCAAAGAACTTAAACATTGCACAAACAGTGGATCAACTCCATGAAATTTTCGGTGAGCAACATTCACTTTTTAAAGTTCGATACAATTGTCTCAAATTGGCCAAGCGCGATGCCGACGATTATGTCACTTGCCGGTGTCGTCAACCGTGAGTGTGAAAATTTTCGATTGCAGTCACTTACAGAGGATCAGTGCAAGTGTCTAATTTTCGTTGCTGCTCTTCAGTCTTCGTTAGAATCAGATATTCGCACTCGACTGCTTGAGCAGGAGAAGGATGTTATCGTGAAAGTACTCACTACCGAATGCCAACGTTTGCATGACCTTAAACACGATATCGCAATGGTACAGCAGACGTCACGACCTACTAATCCCAGTGGTGTCATGGCATCGAAACGAACCACTGTTACACATGAGAAAAAACTGCCAACACCGTGCTGGTCTTGTGGCGAGTGGCACTATGCACTGTCCATTCAAGAAGCAGCAGTGCCAGGCGTGTCATCAGTGGGGCCACGAAGAAGGTTCTGTGGTACCCAAAAAACCCACCGCACCCAAAAACCAAAAGAGCTTCGACAGTCCAGTCAGCAACATAGTCAAAAAGCAGTCGTACAAGAAACGTCCGCAGTCTAGATCTGTGTTCGCAGCATTCCAAGTTGAATTTGAGTCCCGAAAGAAATACCTTACAGTTTCCATCAACAACGTTCCAATCCGTCTGCAGCTCGACACAGCTCCATATATTACGTTGAGCTCACGATCCAATAGGGAGTTGACAGGAGAACCTGTTGTGTCACTCAAGAATCATCGCGCCCAAAGTGCATCTGGCAGTACCCTACTTCTGACTGGCAAGTTAGTCTGTAGTATATCACTCAACAATCTACAGTTCTCAGGAACTTGCTATCCAAACTGGTTGTCCTAATTTGAACGTTCTTGGACTTGATTAGATTGAGAAACTTAACCTTTTCAATGTATCTTTATCATTTGTGTGCAGTGCTCCGAAATTTTCATCCTCCTCAGATATTGCAGAACACTTCACTAACACACTGAAGACAAAATGCAACGATGTCTTCCAAAGTGGCCTTGGATGCTGTACCAAAACTAAGGCAAGCCTCAAACTCCAACCTGACTCCACACCAATTTTCAGACCGAAGCGTCCCGTACCATTTGCCGCTCTTGCAACTGTGGAGAATGAACTTTTTCGTTTCCAGCAATCCGGGGTTATCCAGCCAGTAAGCCATTCACTGAGATTTCATTTTCTCTCTGTCGTAGCCAACTGAGCCGCATTGGTTCATCTGCAATATGGCCGATCTTCATCCGATGTCCTTTGTTCTCCTCCTTGAGGTTTCCCCACTCAATTACTAGTCTATCAAACGTGACAGAGTAAACCCCATCAAGCTTCTTACTCACCCAGCTAGCACGAAGACACGTCCTAACAGATCATCCTAACGATGTACGAGACCCACACGAAGTATCCATTCACAGAAATCGATATAACGTACTTTGAGTGTGTCACAGGAATCCAAAAACAACTGACCATTCTGAGCCATGTTTTTAGAGCCACCATATTCCTTGCTTATCCCAGGTAGTGCTTTCTGGTTCAGACACTAGCAGAAAAATGAATCCATTCCAACAGCTTACGTAAGGTGGCTTAAAATACATTTTGGTATTCTCGCTAACGTTCGTTAACTGTTCACTGCTTCGTTAACCAAGTTACCGATTTGTTTAACGGTTTCCGGGTCTAAAAGGTGAACTGAAAGCCTGTTGCAGGCATTGAAGACTTTTCACTCATTCACAATCTGGTAACGAACTCTTGTTATGGAGTTCTTCGGCCCCTTGGGACCATCAGGCTTCCGGTCGGCGTAAACATTCAGGTTGGACTATGGTTGCATAGAAAGGAATCCACCTTGAGGCCTCAAGCAAAGCCAATCAGGTTAGGGATCGGGTGTCTGAAAGCGGCTGATAGAGGTTCCGGTTCCGCGCAGAGCATTGGATATTTGGCTCACGATAGTCAAAATTCGACTTCTGGTCGGAAGATAGACGTTGAAGAAAGCGTCTCAGGCGTGAGGTTGATTGTTTTGGGTTAATCCGACCTAAAGCTGCCACCTTGACGTGGTGGTCGGGCTTGAGTGCTGCAATGACCTCGCGAGCTACACTGGCTGGAACTTCGTTCCACAAGGTGCAACCATGCCAAGAAGGCCAAAGAGGAGCAGCCAGACCAAGAGCAGCGAGTAATCGTCCTACGAGGCGGTCTGGGGGTAAAGTCGTACTGTCCTCTGTGACAGGAGTGTGAAGGCAGTAAGGTGTTTCCCCCAGGCGACCAGCATGTCCATATTTATGGAAGCAGCGATGCTGCCTTCCCC